TGAGCTACAAGGCGCTGAGCCTTGGTCTCTTTTTTTATGCAACAAAATGTCAAGAATGGACTTGGCACTGATTCTCAAGTTAGAGGAAACTCAACAAACTGATACAGTTGCAAAAATGTAAGCAGTTTTCTGTTTCCCACACAGAAGAGTGTGGGTGAAATCTATCTTGAATCACAGGACTAACCATTTCTTTGGTGGGGAAAAAAAAGGAAGATGAAAATGATTCCTTATCTACGTCTGCACTATTCACTTTTGTAGAAGTAAAACTAACTCAGAGATGTGATCATCCTATTACACTACAAGATAATTTTGGAAAGTCTGAAACAAAAGAAATCTGGTATACTGTAAATACTTATAATGGAGAAATATTAAAATATAAGACCTGAGTAGAATTGCAATGACTTCTTTAAAAACAAGACTTATTTTTTAAAACAAAAGTAATGATGACTTATGTACGGAAAATCTTGTTTATTGTTCTATTTTATAATTTCAAAGTCATAATTACCGTACACCAAACACTTTAATTTGAAGCATTCGATACAAATAAACCCCTAAATAAATTCTAAATAAATCAATTCTTTTGTATTCCTTAAGATATTAGGTTAAGACAATTTTTGTAAACTTAGTTTTTTTTTTAAGTTTATCGTTTTGCTGCACAAATTACTGTATCACAATAACTAGAAGTCGTGGTTGGAAGTAACAATACAGTTAAAAAATGAAGTTTACTCTCAGGCTGATACTTGCCCCGGCATTTGCCCTTAGTTGCCGTCACATAATTTCTTTCAAGAAGAATAAATGTTCCCACTCCAGAGAGTCGACATATTATATCTTAAATATCTCTTACTACAGAATAGAAAATAAATAAAGTTTATCAGCCTTTAGTCTCCATTTGTAGGATGACGATTTCAACTCATCACCCACCTTTAATCCCCAAAGCTATTAAATTCTTAAATATCCACACATTATAGTGAAACATATAACATTCTTAGTACAGCACATCCTGCATGAGTTTTATTATTTTTATTCGTTTAAAAGATTGTTATATTGTACATATAACCACTATTTTTTTCTTTTCTTTTCTCCTACTGTCTTGGCAAAACAGCGCGATCCTCCTTGGAGTAACCTGATGTGGTTCCAGATTTGATGCCAACTGGTTGTCACCTAACTTGACAAGTCTCCTAGCCTCTCATAGCCTTTCATTTTTCATATGAAACAGTGAGGATTTACTTAAAATAATACATAACCTTAAAGTCCTGTTTTCAAGTCTCATCCCCTGAAATTGCACAACTTGACCGCACTGGTGGGGGTGGCCTTTTCCCGACAGTCCGCTTGAGGGCGCTGTGGCCACGCCGGCGCCGAGAGGCGAGGAGCGGCCCGGGGCGGGGATCGGGGCCGTCGACGTTGACGCAGCGCGGTGCACCCTGGGAGCTGTCACTAGGCCCTTCGGCTCCCGGCCTCCGTGTCGCCGCCGCGGTTGCCAGGAGAGCGGCGCCGGCGGGGAGCGGCCGAGCCCACGGCAGGTAACTGCGTCCCCGCTCCCAGCGAGGCCGCTACAACGGTCGCCTCCCCGAGCATCCTTCCGGCCCGCTGGTTCCGGGGCCGCGCGGACTCGCCGCGGGTCCGGCTGCGGCCGCTTCGGGGGTGTTGCCTCCCGGGCCCCGCCGGAGCCGCCACGCCGGGCGGCCGCCCTCAGGTTTCCGTGGAGACCGGAGCTGCGGGGGCCCGGAGGGCCGGAGCGGCGCGGCGCGGGGACAGCCCCGGCGGGGGTGGGGGCGGGGCCGGGCGGGGGGCGCCCGTGTTGGGGTTGCCGGGGCCGGGGCCGCCTCTCGGGGTCCGGACGGCGGGGACGCGGGCGCCGGCCGCGGCGCGCGCACGTGGGGGCGGGCGGGGAGCGCCGAAGTTTATCAGGAGGAAGTCCTGGTGGTCACACGGAAGTTGTTAACAATCAGCGCCTTTGATTCCAGGGCCTTTTAAAGTTGCAACAGCAGGATACCTGTTTCGTCTCCTCTACCCTGAGCCGACATTTCTTAGAATTCTGTGGAGTTTGAGAAATGCAGAGATTGGGAAAATCTGATTTAATGACTGTAGTTAAAGCCATAAAAAAATTGGTGGTTGCGGAAAATGCGTGACACGTTGCCCTGAAATACAGAGATAAAAAAAAAAATTCCTCAATTTCAGTGTCTTTGACTGTTGTCCAGGCAGACGCAAATTCTTAAATTTTAATTGTACTCTAGATATTACTATGGCCCGCTGTGAGTAACACATACCACCTGCTAGACAGTGCAGTGATTTAATCGGGCGTGGTTTCAATTTACTGGGAATTAAAACCACCTGTCCTCCTGCTTTCTTTCTCTGAGTACTCTCACCCACCGCTCAGAGCTAAGGCCTTCTTCTGAACTGGTAAATAATAGCAGATCTCCAGGTGGGCTTGATTATTAGGGACCCCATTCTTGGACAAGGAATTAAAACGCCCACGATAATAGTCACACTAGAAACTGTGATACTATAACCAAAATGTTAAATGTAAGGTAAATGTTGTTAATTAAATGTTTGTGTAGATCCAGAAGACTCCTCTTTCGTGTTTAATGGCCTGGGAATGAAATGCTGCAGCTAATGGGGGATGACCTCTCTAAGCCTCTGTTTTGTCATCGCTTAAGAGAATTTAAAATTTTCGCAAAGTGAAGTTTCTGTTGAACCATGTTGTAAAACCATTTAGTAGGCTTACTGCCCCCAAAACAGTGTTCTATGACCAATATTTGGAATCCTCACACTGGGTTAGACTAGGTTGTTTGTTCTTTTAATTTGCTTATAAAGGCAGGAATCATGACTGTTGTGCTTGTGCATATCCGTGATAATCTACAGGGTGGTTTAGTCAACTTAGTTTCTTCGACTTGACCTGACCTGAGAGCCTGTTTTCTCAGGACCAACTTGTTAGCATCTCTTAGATTATAAACTCAATCATAACTCAGAAATGGGGCTGAGTCCTCTTGCAGCTTTGGGTGGGCAACCTGTAGCCTTCCAGTTTCAAGACTGTTCTTTTGTAAGTGCCAAAGGAGGAAAGAAAAACTTCATCTTTCTCTGCTGCACCCCTTTCAATTAATTTTGTTCAGCAAAATTGGGATTTCATTCCACAGGCTGCATCTAAGGACCTAGAAGGACACACATCCCCCACCCCGTGAGCATGAAGAGTTAGTGTCAACTCAGTTGTACAACAAAAGAATTATGCTTTCCTTAGGAAAATATATTGTATTAATATTAAGCATACAAGTAGGTCTCTTTGAATCTTAATGACACAATAGTATGTTGTTTTTTCTGGTTTTATAGTGCTTTTCTTTAACCATAGTTAATTAATGTTTTGAATTTGATTTTATGATGGAGTTACTGATTGTGTTCAGAATGGTATTTTAAAGTTTTCAACAAGACTTGCTGATAGGGCGGCACCTGTGGCTCAGTGACTAGGGCACCAGCCCTGTATACCGAGGGTGGTGGGTTCCAACCAGCCCGGCCAAACTGCAACAAAAAAATAACCAGGCGTTGCAGTGGGCGCCTGTAGTCCCAGCTATTGGGGAGGCTGAGGCGAGAGAATCGCCTAAGCCCAGGAGTTGGAGGTTGCTGTGAGCTGTGATGCCACAGCACTCTACTGAGGGCAACAAAGTAAGACTCTGTCTCTTTAAAAAAAAAAAAAAAAGACTTGTTGATAATGTCATTACTTTTACTACAGTGAGTTCCTCTTCTAGATATTAATTCTTAAAACTATGAAATGTGAAAGAAGCCACCTGAGAAATACTGAACGTGTAATGACTACATAATTTTAAGGTTTAGATCATCAAAAAGAGGTAAAGGTTAAAACAGATCCTGAGGGAGTTATTGCTAAATTGCTTTAGAAGTAGAATGTAAGTGGTGAGTACAGTCTAAAATTGTTCTGCTGTGGTGTATTAGGTATTATCACCTAGGGAGTGTGGTTATTTGTAACTTCGTTAGGGGTCAGTGCTATTAATGCACAGTGTTGTTTGGGAGGAAAGAAGAGAGAAAAGAACATAATTTTAGTAGATAAGTCTTAATTCAGCTATTTCTTTCTCTGGAGTAAGACTGAAGTGTAAAGCTAATATTTTTGTGTAATAGGTAAGTTTTTATTGAGAATTAATCTTATGAAAATTTGATCCTCTTATCTTGAAACTGTAATTTTGTTTTTCTCTTTGTTCTGTTTACTCCCTCCTCCCCACGCTATCCAACTCTGAAACTTCAATGACCTTTCATTTTATAGGTCAAAGGTACAGTATTAAACTTAAAAAGGAAAAATTGACATACAAATTTTGTAAAATGATGTGCACTCATTTTATGCATATATTTCAATAAGTTTTAGCAAATACATACAGACGTGCGTAAGCATAGTCCAGCTTTGGGACATGAATCACGCAGGCCCGTTCTGTTATGCTTTTACACTCTTAGAATGCTGTCTGTCTCTACATTTCTAAATTATACTTGTCTTTTAAGACATAGCTCAAAGGCCACTTTGCAGATCTCTTTTCGATTACCTCATTTGAGTTAATTTCTCCCCTCCGACCCTCCCGTGTCCCCTCTGGTCTTCACGGTGGCGGAGCGAGTGACAGGCATAGCGCAGGCTCTTACGTTGCTCTGTCAACCAGATGGGTTCATGTCGTGTTTCCAAAATTGCAGTCGTTTTTATATCATCTCCAAAATGTTGGCCACGTCTGTATACTTCCTGTAGACTTAATATGTATTTCTTTATAAAAGAGTGATTATTAAAATAATTTTAAAAGAGAACTTGAAATAACTATGAATAAAAAGTAGGTAATATTTGCCATAAACAGATGAGGCCATAGAGATAAAAATAATGAAAACAAAAATGTTGCTAATTTCTAGCCACATGCTATTGCCTCCTAAAGCTCTGTTTAAAGGGGAGATTGGCACAATTTCGAGGCATTGATAACATCTTGGCACTAAACCAAAAATTTCTTCTTGATTCAGTCACAGGAACTGAAAGAGAATTCAGCTGGGAATAACTTCCTCACTGGATTTAGTGCCATTAGCCCTGTCCTCTCAATCCCTCTCGTTGGTGGCCCAGATTTGGGAGCTAGAGGGTTAAAGGAGCTTAAATCCTTAGATGTTTTATCTGTGCAAGAATTGGAAAATATAGGCTTAATTGTAAATTCAAAAGTATACTAGACTTTAAAAATACAGTACAAAGATGAAAACTGAATATAATCAATACTGAATCAGATTTTATCTGTTTTTTTCCAAAAATGTTCTCAATATTACTAGTGTTACTTTTAAAAATAAAATACCGGCTCGGTGCCTATAGCTCAACCAGCTAAGGCACCAGCCACGTACACCTAAGGTGGCGGGTTCGAATCCAGCCCGGACCCACCAAACAACAGTGACGGCTGCAACCAAAAAATAGCTGGGCGTTGTGGCGGGCGCCTGTGGTCCCAGCTACTTGGGAGGCGGAGGCAGGAGACTCGCTTGAGCCCAGGAGTTGGAGGTTGCTGTGAGCTGTGATGCCATGGCACTCTACCCAGGGGGACAGCTTGAGGCTCTGTCTCAAAAAAAAAAAAAAAATACCTAGTGTGTTATTATTAGGGTGTGTTAGTTTTAAGATAAACTTCCAAATATAAAAGAAAATCTAAATCTGAACCCAAGTGGAAGCGTTTTATGTGACAAGCGGTAATGTTTATGTAACATTACTATAATGTTTATACTGACAAAGCCCCTGTTAAGAGTAAATGAGATAATAAACTTAAAAAAACTCATATTCTTTCTCAAACCACTTAAGCTTTATATAGCTATAGTTTTATTCTGCCAAAGACATTTCCAGCCTTTTTTCTTCTAATATAATGACAATTTCTCCTTTCACGTGGAGGGAGTTTTATATGAACGGGCAGGAAAATAGATTCCCTGTTCTTCTGCGAGATGTTTTCCGAGTCACATCTTCATATGATATGCTAATGACTCGCTGTTACGCTGTGTCCATAGACAAAGCGCGCGGGTGAATAGACTGTTTAGTTTGGTTTTATTGGGTTTGTTTGGGTGTTTTTTTTTTTTTTTTGGGGTGGGGGAGAGGTTGAATTTTTTGGGACAGCGTCTCCCTCTGTTGTCCTGCGTAGAGTGCCATGGGGTCATAACTCAAAGCAGCCTTAAACTCCTGGGTTTGAGTGATCCTCCTGCCTCAGTCTCCTGAGTGGCTGGGACTACAGGCACCCCCCACAATGCCCAGCTAATTTTTCTTTCTTTTTTTAAGTAGCAATGGGGTCTCGCTCTTACTCAGGCTGGTCTCAAACTCCTGAGCTCAGACGATCCACCTGCCTCAGCCTCCCAGAGTGCTAGGATTACAGATATGAGCCACTGTGCCTGGCTGGTGTTATTGTTTTTAAAAAACAAAATTAACCTGAATGGTGGTGATATGTTTATCAGTACATAGAATAAGTTGCTGTTGAACCAGAAGTCAGACTTCTGTTAGTCTACGATTGTGGGACACAGCCTCACAATGAAGGTAAAGACA